GCAGCTGTATTGATTCGTATGCTTAAATGGGTCTATTAGAGATGTGGTAGCACAGCGGCAAAAAGTCGATTTTAAACTGAGGAGGTTTCGACTTCAGAAAAAAACCAATTTCTTTCTAATCGCAAGTTTCATTAAGCGAGGAGTGTTGAATTGGTGCAGCTAACCGAGAAACTGGTACCACGTCGCCGCTGACTCACGAATGAACAGGACAGCGGGTGTTCTGGTGCGATCATGCCAGAACGGGTGATACAATAGACGCACATTGCACTTGCTTCCAGCATCCTAAAGCATGGTCCTACTAGCCTTGCGAATCCAGAGAAGTGACATAAAGTGTAATCCTGGTTTTTGTACCTCAGGAGAATGAAAGCTGAGTGATTCTCACTAAGGACAATGACTGTTAAGGCCCTCAATCTCTAAATTCACCGCTTCACCGACCGATCCGGCTGACATTAATAGTGGGAAATTAACAGACATTGTGTGGAAAATTAATTTATGTTACTAACCTCGAATAGAAGATTGAATGAAGGTAAAATAATGCCTGTCCACATTCGGCTGTTCTTCTCGTGAGTTAACATAATGTTTGTTTTTCAGAATGATAAAATACCTTCGCCGATACAAAGCAATGATTTTAGAGGACAAATAAGAGGAGAAGCACTATGAGAAGAATTCACCTCTTTCTTCTGTCTTTAAATGGTGCAATAATACCATTCCCACTCTGGGCGAAAATGGATACCTGTTCAACCGACCTTAAAACTCACTGACGGTATTGGTAATTAACACGTTTTAGCAAATTCAAACATCAAAATATTTGTTATAATGTTTATTAAAATTTCAGACTTACTCCTTTACAAATTTAGCTTGACATAAGGTGTTAATAGATCAAAAAATAAGTTAAAGATAATGCAGTAAGTGCATTTGTCTGATCAAGGTTATGAATGCCAACACCATGCTTACTGGAGCAGCTGCGGGCCAGCAAATTGAATGAGATCGGCCGACGTCTTCAAAATCATAGCTGTGAGGAACGGGAACTTAAAGATTGAGAATAGCGTTGCGACTATAGACGGAGGCGAAGGCTCCTTGAGCTTTCCATCTATCTTATTCATTTGGCTGACTTCTTGTTTCGATGTCGCATACTTTGCCAGTTTTCTGTCCCACCTCGGTTTCCAACGCTTTAGCACATTATGCGCAACGTGCTCTTCGTTCAACGACCAGATGTCTCCTTGTAGCAGCGGTCTCTTCCACCCAAGGATCGCAATCCTGGTAATGAAAAACGAGTTCATTTAAGCAATCTTAACCATTCCGCGTTTTCGAAAGAAACAAACAGCAAAAAACATATTATTCGCCTCTGAAAGGCATTTGAGGTTGGCATGAATCATTAGGGACATTTTTTACTGGTCACTCCCTCAGCAAAAGTACCGATCAGCGGAAACGAAAGAAGCATTGCAGCGGGGTTGTCGCGAACTGACTGGTAGCCTCAAATAAGACGTTACAAACAATGAAGCGCATTCCACATGCAGATACAACCAGGATAAGGGAAGAAACGCGCTTGAAATGGTTGCTATCAATACGAACCGGACTACTGATAGAGGCAATGAAGCAACAACGTATAAGAAGACCAGTTTGCGTTGCTACACCAAATCTACGACATGCAAGTTGGGTACGTATCTACGGATCTATGGGCAGTAGTTGCCAGTAGTTGCTTATACATGCTGTCTGATACATTCGGAGGCCTGGTGGCACAGTGGCTAAGGGTCAACTTTGAACTCCGTCGGTACCGCGTTAGAATCCTCCCAGGAAAGCCTTTGTTTTTACCGCGAATTCCCTTGAACGATGAACTAACTCAAACCTCATGCTGTTTCCACATAGTCATCCGACCGAGAAACTGAAAGTCGTGATTTGCGAATAATGGCATTTTGGTCTGCTCATGCCAGAATGGGCGATTGGTACGGCCATGCTGTCCGATGCAAGCGTATCTTGTTTTGCACTGCATCTTGTTTTTGGTTGCTGACTCTCCAGTGTAACAGTCAGCGCTTGGCGTTACCTGTTTCCTATCTCTTATGTTAAACATTAAATGTTTTAACGTGCCGGCTCTGTCTTGCATTTGTTTACAAATTTGGTACAGTCAGAATATCAATGTTGGTTTCTTGCTCCATACCCACACGTCAAGATGCCTAGAAAGTAACCATATAAGTGAAGAGGAAATGTAACATCGTCATTCCCAACGATCCCAACGACAGCACCAATGCAAACTAAACATTTTGAAGAGCAAGTAATATCACTTGGTCAAAAAAGCATATTAGCGTCTATGTTAGCATATCCACTGTTAAAAATACCTCTGAAGGCAACTGGAAATAGCCGAATGGAAATCGCTATCTGTTGGAATAAACACATTGCTTCTGCTAGCATTAGAATTTAATGGTTCCAGTTTCAAACCATGATATAAACCATGAATACGTTGAAAATAAACAGCCTTACCCTGTGAACCAAGTGAACAGCATGCAGTTGAGAAACGAAGCAAATTTTTCAGGACTCGGCTTCTGAAAGATGTTGGTAAATATGAATGAACAATAATAAGGCGGCAATGAAATAGTTCGTACGTTATTGTCGCAAATGCTTTGGTACGGTGTTGGTTTGTCGGCCCAGGTGCAGAGAACAACTTGAACCAAGATTAATATGTAGTATATAATGTAGGTCACCAAATCTTCGCGATCTGCTTGATCCGCCTACAGTAAGATAACACCCTTCAGAAACACAATGCGGTTAACCACTCTAATAAGCACGTTTTTCCAAACGACTTCCACAGTGAAGTTGTTATGGAGTGAAATTACCTCAATTATTAGTGTTTGAGGTGTTAGAGCTCAGACTTTGCTAGTTGAAACATAGGCCATTTAGTTTAAATCGACTAAGCGTTATCTATAGCAGGCAGGGACCAAATGTTTATTTGCATAATCTAGACAAGGTGAACTTAACCTGATTACTATCGTAGCAATTAAAACTTTGTACATTCTTTCAATTGGAACATCAGTACTGACTGGAATATGATTGACAGAATACTTATGATTACAAAACAAATCAATGTAGAAAGATGCTTATGAAAATTAACATGTGGCTGTGAAAAACTAGGAAAAAGAGCCAATATGTATAGCCAACAGTGAGAATAACGGATCACAATGCCGCGAGTCTGGCTGAAGATTAACAGCCCGTTGCTCAGGTAAGAGGAAATGCACTCTAAATCGTAGTTTCCAAGTCATCTAATGACTTACATGAACTGTTCATAATGTAAATTGGTTACGAAGATGCAGTTACTGTAAATTACAGCATTCGTATGGATATGGACCGAAACTTTGACACTTCTCAAAGCGCAGCATAAAATTTTGAAACAGTTTTATCCAATGCTGAATGATTCTGAAATGAAACGACTTTGTGACGTCTTTAGGCAGAAAAATAAAACCCGATCTTAGGGTCTACTAGCATACTGCGAATTATTGATGCCTCTGCTAAGATATATAATCCTCTTCAGTTTTTGATACCGGATTGAAGAGGCGCAGGCGATCCCCCGTGCTCCTAGTGCTTACATTATGTCATCTTCAGCGTACGCATTAGTAACAACAGTATAGTGGCTTAACAACAGCGCCCCAGCATCGCTTACTCTTCTGTGAAACAGCCAGCTCGTCTGGTTTGCTACCGAATAAGAATTTCAGTTGCAGATATATGATAATTCATCAAATCCACAGCTTCGCTTCTTAAGAAGCCGGAAGTCCAAAAACTAAGCAGCTGTGGAAATGACCTGGAAGATACAATGATCAGCCAATAGCAAGTTGATTGGAAACACCGCAAAACCTGATGATGACAGGCAAAATCTAACTTTGATTATTTAGCCGCTTCGCTAATGCCAACTCAACACCATGCCAATACATGGATTTAACGCTGGTTCGACTTTGACTCCTTCTGAGGCAAACTTTGGAGGTTGTTAGAAATCCCGGCGTAGCACAAGAAACGGACGACAAACTGCTGCAAATAGAACACCCCCCCCCAAAAGCCTGATTTTTCAGCTATAATTTACAGTATTTTCCGAGTCGTCCTGCCGAAGTTCGATGACAACAAAGCGCCTCTTTCCATGGGGCTGGTCAGCACCACGTGCACCATTCCCTTAACAACAACAGTGCTACATTTTATGGACGAGGAGACATCCTCCGTTTGGAAGACTTGGTTGGCTACCGTCTTCATTATTTAGAGAACGTTATTATAATAGCGTGAATAAACTTGACCTTGCGTACAGATTGTTGGTTCTGACAAATTCATATGTAGTTTTTCGTCGTGAAATGCGGTCTATTCCAACATTCTCTGTGGCAACGTCTATACAGCCCTTAACTGCAAATTCCCAGTTATTGATTCCTTTGCAGAGAAGCGTGCGGAGAACGCTGGCCCCGGTTTGAACGCGCATCTGCTTGTACTCATAGATGAAGTCAACCCCTATGTCCTGACCCCGTCAAAGGATTTTGGTCTTGCGGAGCCCCCACGGCTTCACTCCCAACTGGATTACGCAATGGAAAACAACCCCGGTTGTTTTTGCGGTAGGAATTTTGCGCCTCGGTACTTCCGATCATTGTGTTCCCTGTCGCATAATGCGTATAGGCAGCAAACAGCGGCGTGTCGTTGTTCAGAGGTCATTCAGATGCTGAACGAATTATGCTGCTCCAGACGATGGTGGAAACAACAGATTGGACCGTTTTCCACAACGATGACCTAAGCAACATGCATGTTGAAGCCGTAAAGGCTAGCATATACTATTCCGTCAATACCTGCTGCTCCGGCAGAAAATTAATATCATAGCTGGTGACTGTTGATGGAACGGTGTTATGCGTCTGATTCGGCAAAATGACAAAGAGTACAGGAGCGGATACAAGGCAGCCTTTACATCCCTGCATAGGAGATGGCATGAAATTGTTCGACTGAACCAGAAACAAATGCGAAGGATAAACGAATCGCGACTATTACTACTGTGCAATTGGAAACCGAGACACAGAGTCATGAATATAAATGCTGAAACTCTGAACAGCTGTTTTTTAAGGTTCGATTATGAGGAAGCAGCTGTTTGAAGTAATCGTTGTGAACCGTGAAGTCCGTAGGTAGTTTTGCACCGTCGGTATTACATTGAACGTTATCCTTGGGTTGATGGTGGCAGCGGGCGCCCTCATACTCCTCGTTTCAGTGTTCATGGCGTTGACCTGTAGCCCTGCTTATATAACAATGTTGAACACGTTTTTGGTGAATTCAATAGGCCACTTTCGGAGCCGCTCAGCAGCACGACGCCATCATCGTATTCAAGGTCCCATAAGAGCACCAGAGGAGATTTCGATCCGCGTCACTTACTGGCGGCCATTCTACGGTCATAACTTTAGACGTCGTTTTCCCGCATAACCTCAGTGTCATGATTTTGAAAAGCTGAAAATTGTAAACCATGATGGTGGAAAAGCAAGCACATTTAAATGGCAAGTTTTTCAATCTTCATATAAAAATTTGGTCTGCTGGTCGATCATCCTTCCATATCGATATCTACCCTTCTTCTACTGATATTGTCAAAGTTCCATGGCAGACTGACTGTTGGAACCAACAGATAGGCAGATTTGGTCTTCGACGCTGTTGCACTGATGCAGACAATTGCTTCAATGAATACAGCTGAAGAGAACATCTATTGAGCTGCCTGAAAATTCGACAAACGATGGCAATGACTGATTTCAAGGCGAAATTTATCGCTGAACTCATGTACTCAGATTCGCAAAAGGTTCCCATTGTCTCATTGATTGCACCTCGATCAATTGAAGCTGAAACGTTAATTACCTATCGATGAAATCTTTTTCTATTTCGGTTGTGTTACTGTAGGAGGAACGTAAATGCTATGTCTATTACAGTAGTAAAACTGGTTTGCCTTGAGTTCCTAGATATTGTCCTGAAGGCATGACGTTGTTTTGGAAATTCTTCGCTATGATAATCTCTCAATCACTTTTTCTCTTAAGGCATTAATTTATAAAGAAGTATTTTATATTCAATAATTCAGTTGGGCTCGACAGAATTACTCCGTGCTTTGCAACGAATTCGAATGATACAGGTTTTATTTGACACGTCTATTTTTTAAAGTCTAAAGTATTGGCCGACTTAGGCCTACGTTTATCAATAGACAGCTGAAAAATTTCTGTTCTAATCTAAAAACCAGTTCCTGTTTGCCATACGTTTGCATCACTACTTGATGAATAGCAGGAATGATAATCCTATTCATTAGAGATAATTGGTTAATCTCAAATCAACCTACTGTGGGCACAAAAATTCTTTGTACACTTAACATATATGTATTCCAGCATATATCCTTGTATAACAAACAAAACACTAGAGTCAGTATTTGCTGAATACGAGGCAGAGCTCGGAGCAAACACGTTTTAGTTGGAATATCACATAAAAGTGAGAGCTATTTTGATAAACCTGGAAATCTGCACTATGCATTAACATTTAATTTCCGAAAACTTAATATCTGATAAGTTATTGGACAGAATATTCAACTAGCAACAGAAAGATCAGGGGTAACTTCAACAATGACACAGGAACTAACTTATGAATGCAAAAGTGGGCCCTAAGGGTGCAAGCTATTCATATCCTACAGACTATGCCACGCAGGATGGAAAGATGTATGACCGAAACAACAAGAAAAAATAGGAAGGCAAACGAACAGGTCTGAGAAGCACGAGTCTACTGTGTCACTGTACAAATGAAGAAGCTGGTGGCGATAGGCAGACACGTACCAGTACGAACCTATCATCTAGTGACCAGAGGCAAATTAGACTGTAGTGCAAAAAATAATAAATGGCTTGTGAGTCAACTTCCATACCGATAACAGGATGAGCGGAAAAAGTTCCTTCAACGCAGAAACAAATAGCAGAAAACGGAAGTGTAATGTCAAGTCTTAAATAAGCCTTCGTTCAGCAGTGAATTAAAAGCGACTGATCACGATGCTTGTGAGGAAAGCCATTTTTTGTTGCTGTTGCGAGTCCGCACAAAAGCATCCTTGAGTTGTCCTCATACAAATTTGAGCTTTACTAATATCAGAGGTGCGCATCATAGAAGCAAGCTGTAAATAAAATACGGAAACATAATTGCCGGACTTTCTTGCGGTATGAAATTCAATATCCAGACTTCAGCGTAACCGCCGTCTCCATAGATACACCTTTGAAGGACGTTTTTACATCATTGACAAAATTCTGTATTTTTTTCCAAGCGATTGCATGACTTACTTTTTTTATCTTTACTTTACACTCTTTTCGTTCATGGCTATGGTTAGTAAAGGACAGTAAGTGGTTACATAAAATATATGCGGTCCTATAGTCGAAAAAAGGGTGGTGAAACAAAATGGGGTGGTCAGACAATTGGTTCATGAGTGGAAACTGAAATGCGATGAATGATGGCATTAATCAGTCATTACTCACTCAAAGCATAGTGACGGGAAGCTCATCTAATAGAAGGCTATGCCTAAGATTTATTAGTCCATGTTATTAAATTTCTAACCAGCGCTCAGTATTGACTATGGCCTGTTTCAGAAAGAAACAATCAGACATGATATGATTTACTGCGAACATACCACAGACGACCTTATAATAAAGCAGTTTCATGCAGCTATAAATCTTAATGCTTTTTTACTTACTAAATTTTGCAGTTGTGACGTTCAACATGCAGCGCTGCACCACCAAGAAGTGTCAACCTTCATGAACCAGTGAACAATTGTAAATTAGTGCTTTCGCCTGTTGGCTTCAGCATTCATTCAATGGTATTACTACATCACTTTAGTCATTTGAATTTTGGAACCGCTTTCATTCAGTTTCTGTCAAAAATGTTTTTCTGGTAAGTGCATTCAATGCCATCAAGAAACTGTCTCATAGAAATTGCAAACGCGGAAATAAGATAAATATGGACAGTAATATTGCAATGGCGATCAGACACTCACACAATTTTCATGAATTATTAAATCCCGATTCACTGTGGGGAAACAGTGAGCATCCGGAACACATTTTCGAAACATACTGCAACCCTACCACTGCCAAAGGCGGCATTAGTCCTCGATCTCGCAAATGAACCCATAATATAAATATGGGAAACAGTAAATATTTTGAACCGATTTCCTTAACTGTAATGAATGCAGTGTCTTGATCAGCTGGAGGATTAAGACCGGCGTGAATGCAATCTTGGTCATCACGATCAGACAATGCAGCGCGATATTTTTGAATGATCGTTTCATTAGTTCAATCACAGGATGCCAGTTCAGGTCATCCAAGGAATCTGCTCATCGCTAGTCACCTCAGACCATACAACGGAACAATAAGAATAAACGTTAATGCAAAGCTAACGGTTAGCAACACGCACCTGTTGTATGGACTCTACATCCTTTTTGAATTCTGCAAATCCACATACTGCGAAAACGACGTATGACACAAATAACACTCCGGAGGTTATCACCCCTCTTTGGCGGCACTGAACTTGCATTGCGAAAAACAGGAACTATAATGACAATGTATACGACGGGGACGCACTGTTTAAGTTTTACCATCGATACAAACAGCAACAAGGCAGCAACGGTGTCTGAACGAGGAAACGGCTGAGGATGAGTAAACGTTTTGGACAGCAACAATGCCCACCTCACTGCCGTTATTACGACCAAGGCAAACGAAACAATCTGCATATTAATACAGGGTTAATGAGCCATAATGCAAAAAACAGAATGACCTTACCAGCTTGGAAAGAATGAGAAATTTCCATGGTAATGGCAATAGATCGCTTTTGGCAGAAAAATAAATTTGCAGGGGCGTCCAAAATGCTAGGAAAATGCAGGGCAGCCACACTAAAACCGTATGTTGGAAACATGGCGTCAAATTAGGGTCGGTCGTATTGAATAGAAGAGCAGAATCCTGAAAAGACAATAAAATGTACTAACATTTTAGAATAACAAACGATTATGAGCTAAATATTCAGAAAAACGATGTATTCTCATATTGCTAGAGTGCCGTCAAAATTAACCTACCTAAATTCAATTCAGATAGGTGAAGCAGCGGTTGTTATTGCATATTACTGAATTGCTGCCCACAGCTGGGCGGTGCCCTGCCAGGCTTGCAGAGCACAGTAAAATTTCATTCCATTTCAGTTTCCGATGCCGGATCTACTATGAGGTGGAAACGAACCGCTCCTTTGCTTCGAGTTGCTTAGGGGGACCATTTGAGCAGGTCATGAATCCATGGAGTTTAATCACTTGTAAATAATCGACCATCTTCAAGTCGGGCTATACAAGAGTATGTTCGAGTACGGACAAAGTCTACCCCTCTCCGTTAACAAATATACATACAATAAAATGACATATAACCAAAATATTTCCTAAGTGAAGAAGTTAAAGTGACAATGACCAGAGCACGGTGTAAGAAGCGCTGGTTATTGCCGCTGTACCAGAGTAACATCAGACTGAGTTTCAAGAGAGAGGACCTCCAGATAAAAGGGAAGGACGAAAAATGTTGCTTAATCAAGGTGGATAAAAATAGCATAAGACAAAAGTCAATGACAGTGTTCTGTTAAGGTCTTCGCCCAGCATTGAATCGAATAGCTGGTTTCCAATTCCACCATAAAATATTACACTTAAATTACTGATAGCGGAAGTTCAAAATCGTTCCGTATTCAGTTTTCTATTTTTTTTCGAATGAACCATTTCCTTAAATTGCATTCTGCATTATGTACCACAATGTAAATATCACTTTCGAAACAAAAAATATAAACATCTGTGTAGTTTCATGCCTTCAACCATAATCGGCAGAGAGTCTGTAATTTCACACTAACACGCCCTAAATCAGAAATGTTAGAACCGGCTTAAGGATCACTTTGAACACGAACTGCCGACGGTAAACATTGTAACATTGACTTGTTCGATGATTCTTCATTCAGACTTGAAGATGCCTATGAATGTTGGTGTGAAGTATGATCATTCTTCCCTCGTTTTACGATTGCGTGCCCTTCGAATATAACATGAACGTAATAATCCATTGATGAATTATTTATTTGCTGAAAACTCTTTCAGGAAATTTCCGATGCCCTGTTTAATAAAATTTATGCGAAAATTATTCGTGCTATCAAAATAAATTGATACATAAAAGAAAGATTCAAGACCCGGCGGAAACCAAAATCACATCACCAAATGGGAAACATCATGTTCTGCAAGGCGAGGGGAAAACTAGGAAACGATATCGTACGACCGTTTCAACAGATCTAAGTGATGATCGCTGATGAAGAAACCGATTAAACGCTGTTTAAGGGCAACTTACTCAGGACTGCCGCCGAACGACGCTGTCTGAAACCAACGGTGTTGGTCCGCCCCCTGAGGGTTACATACACTTTTCTTGGAGGACACGAGAGGTTCACCTGTCAAGGAGAAAAAGGTTGCAGTTAAAAGACGGCAGGGAGCCAAACTAAAGCACGAATGCAATACAAGGAAGCGCAAGCGATGACCAAAGCAAAACATGATGCCTAAGACATTGAGGTGTTTGAGTCGAATTATCGAACTGAAAACAAGGTATTCTAGCAGATCATCCGTCGCCTGCGAGTAGGGCAGTTTAAGAGTCTTGAAGGCCACTCCGTATGTCCTCTTATCAAGAATGAGGCCATAAGTCACCGCTTAAGCAAGTACTTTGAGGAATACCTTTATGACGAGCAACCAGTGGAAGACTCGCCCAAAAAGCAACAGGCACCAGATAGAGTAGATGAAGTCCCAGAAGTTGTAAAGGGCTTGAAATTTTCAAGGCTGCTGGATTCTGTAAAATCCTCCAGGAAATGCGTCAACGCATGTTGCTGTTCAAACGGCAATGGCTGCGGGGGAGATATCAGAGGACTCGAGAACGGGAGATTCAGTGCCCTCTTCAAGAACAGAGAATATACAGACTTCTCCAATTATCAGGTAATACCTCATTGAGTTTCCGGGGAAAGTATACGCAAGAGCGTTACAAAGGAGTTACCTCTAAATAAGGTACAAAAATTGCAGCGTGTCTTCAAGCAAAGTCGAAGCCCCTGTGACCATATGCTCGCCTCACGCCAGACTGTTGGGAAATTTTTGGAGTTTGCTTAGGCGGTTTATATGTGCATTATGAATCCGGGGAAAACCTATGACCTATGACCTATGACCGAACGCAGCTCTACAATCTATGGACGAGCCTGCAAACATGCGGGAAAGATGACCAGTTGCTATGAGCCGTTTGATCACAATATGTTGACAGCAGATGCTGCATCAGAAGAAATGGATTTGCGTCGATATCTTTTAGAGTTGGCATCGTCTCCGCCAAAGCTGTCTTCTGCCCCCTTCTTCTGTTTATGTTGTGCCTCAGTGAGGTAGTAGGGCGCAGGGAGTAATGTCTCGTTGCAGATGTTGAGACGTGAACGTTTTCCATTTGCAGAAGACCATGTTTTGTTGTCATCTGCTGGAACTGACCTCGACTGATTTCGAGCGCTCTGTGGAAAGGTTCACATCTGAATGCGAAGAAGCCGATATGCGTAAGAAGGTATACAGATGCCCGGTGCTTTCTCGTTCTCCTGTCCGTTACGGTATGTAGACAAACGGAGAGGCTGTGAAATGGGTGAAGAAGTTCACCGCCAATGAAGCACTTGTATCTCGGGGTAGTACTTACTGGAGATGCGATGTAAAATGGGAGGAGGAGATCGGTCAGAAAATAAGAATGGTCAGCAGCCAACGGTGTGCTACGTGAATTAGCTTCGACCGTAACGACGAAAGCAGATCTGAGTCTGAAGAGAAAGTTCTCTGTGTTCAAGTCGACCTTAGTCCCGATGCTCTTCTACGATCATGGGTGGTGGACCATCACTGAAAAGCTTTGATTCTGATAACAGGCTACTGAAAGAGCTTTCTGAGACAAATTGCTGGGCTCACAAGTGTCGACACCTCCGTGATGGACATATCTGAAAGAAGCTTGTTGTGCTTCATCAGATTCTTGAGCAGACCTCGAGAATGCTTTCACGAAAAGCCTCAGAGTAGCTACTCCTTGCCCAAACAACGAGATTCAGACCTCGGGGAAGATCAGGAATAACTTGGAGAAACTGTATGGAAGGACTTTGCTTCAGACTCTAGTTGTCTTCGACCGAAGCTCAAACGGTCGCACAGGACCAGACACTGTCTGATGCCTTCTAGCTCTACCCAAAACGATAGTTGGCCATCGAAACTGACTGACGGATATTAGCCAGAGTTTTTCAGCTGTAGCCGGAAATCAGGCGTTTCTTTAAAACTGATTCATGATAAATTGCAAAAATGTTTCCCAGGATGACACCAAATAGAATATTAATTATGTACAAAATCTCTGACGTTTCAAGACATACTTGATGGGACTAAAAACATTTTTTTCAACAATATTCAGATGGTTCTTTCTTTCATTTCTTAAGGACACGTGGAGTTTGATGCGAAACCTTTGAGATTTTGTACATCATGAACTAATTATGCGGTGCTACCGAATCCGTAACTCTTCAGTTCTGAATGGGATGGCGGAGGGCGTGATAATACACAGGCAAAGAGGTCGACTTCGAACCCCCCTCTCACAAAGTGCCTAGTTTGAATGTTGAGAAAGATGAAATTTGACTCAGCCTCGAATTCAGCTGAGGAATTCATCGTTGACTTCAAATTCCTTTGGTGCAACCAGCAGAAAAATCGGCAGCTGGCGACGATGATAGCTTAGACAAATATGCATAGATGGCATTAACTAGGCAACGAGGAGGTGCAGGAATATTCAGATGTAACACCAGCAATCTGCCTACGATGGGCATCGGCAGAAAAAAGTTTGCATCTACATAACTACCAACCTATCTAAGACCGGAAGGAAAACAGAAATAACAAAAATGCTATATTTGATAAATAATACGAACGGTGCATCATTGGTAGGGATTTCTCAGATTGCTCTTCGCTTTTGTGTGCCTGTTCCGTAGGTGCGAGTGGTAAGCATTTTCATGCCAGTAATCCACTGTTAATTCATCATTTGGAATTTGTGACAATTATTCTCTGGCGTGATATTAAAATGCATTTCTCTGAGTATCCGAAGGAATATAACAAGCATCTACCTCTTCTAGTGTTTTTTATTCAGTAATACGAAGAAAAAATATCTGCAGAAGGTGGCTAAATACGAATCGCAGTAAAGAGTTCGGTTCCCGTTAATTTTCCCTTGTTCCTTGAGGTCATCGCGTGCCTGGTAAGCGGCACTCATTGACTGCATATTGCTGGACAAGGTTGATGAGCAATGAATGGCAAATTCGAGACAGAAACAAAACAGGGGTATTATCTTTGGTAGAGGAATTTCCAGGCAAGTCCTCAACCAAAAAACAAGACACTGGGTCGAAAAGGGCGCTGAGAAAAGTGGAGAGGGTGCAGCAAATAAATGCGCTCTGCGATAAGCGTTGCAATGCGCAAACGCGGACAGGCTGGCCGACCCGACTGTACAGCATGACTGTCGCGGTAACAG